CTTCTCATTTAATTCTTCTGAAACCCTCTGTGAGGTGGATGATTCAGTTACCACTGTTCATTCAGGGATATCAAAACCCAGAAAGGTTAGAAAACATGCTCTGTATTACAAAGCAGACCAGCAACAGGCAGGATCTTAACTCCTGTCTGTGATGCCTGGATGCAGACTATTGACCACTGACTGTCCTGTTAATTTGTAGATTGGGGTATCCATGTTTGACAAGTGACCAAGTGGATTTTTGTTTTCTTAGATCCGTTCAGGTGGATTGAAACTTTATTTCCAGTTTAACACTCTGATAAATACAAACCACCAACCAGCCTGTTGCTGCCCTGACTCATAGACCTCTCATATGCAGGGGGACTATGCTCCATAGAATTTTCAGAGGTGCGACCTTTTAGAGGATCCCTAGGTCTTTCTTCCAAGTGCCTTTGGGTGGAATCAAACCACCAACCTTTTAGTTACTAGCCTAGCCTTAACTGTCTGTGCCACCCAACCCTTCCTAGTTGACACCTCTGGTACTTCTCCAAATACTACTGTTAACTCGCTATTCAACCATTGCAAAAATGGTAACTTTTCATAAAATCAGTGTAATAGCCTATAGAGTACCTTTCTAATTCTGTACCTGGCCCAAAGTTGTTGTTGGATGCTGTCAAGTCAACCAAGTGGGAAATGTTTTAGAGAAGCAGCTGGTAGCTGCTTTTCTAATGATGTGTGACCTCTGCTGCAGGCTCATTGAGGTCTCTATCTGTGGAGATGTTCACGCTCCTCCCTCATTTGTTAGCTCTGCTATCAGTCCTGGCCACCACAGGGGTCTTCACTGTAGTTCAAAACAGACCACACTCAAACTGCCCTTGAATGCATTCCACTAAGTGGAACCACCAGGTTCTTCCCTCTCTGTAGTTAACCCCTCCCAATTTGTCTCTCCCCTATCTTGCACCATCCCCTCCCTCCAGCTGTCTCCTTCTGATTTCAGGGTTACCTCCTTTGATGTTTTCACACCTCCCTTTGGGTCTCTGCCACATTCCCAATCTCTGACTTTCTCTGCACATCTTTGGTTTTCTGTATGGCTCGGGTTTATTAAGTACACAAGCACGTAGTGGCAAGAAGCTGCACTGCAATCCCAAAGGCACACAGTTTGAGGCCACCAGCTGCTCCATGGAAGGAAGAGTAATCATCTCTCGTGTGATTAACTGCCCCTGAAAACCTGCTGGAGGGTCAGGTATGGGTCAATTCCAACTCAACGGTGCGCAACCACCACAACAACATGCGTGTCCACAGCTTTCTTTACAATCTGTCCTTGTCGACAAGTTCATGAAGGCACACCTCAAAGATGTGAGGGTTTGATTCTAACTTTTTTGATTTTCCAGTCCATACAAAAACAAAATTTCTGCTACACTGCAGTCTTTTAAATATGAAATAACACCATGGAAAAAAATTGAAATATTGTGAGAATTGGGAAAATGTGTTGGAGAAAATTGTTCTGATAATACTTCCTGGACATAGGGTTGCCACAATCATTTCATTTTGTAAAGAAGGCAAAATGAGTGAAGTATATTAACAAGATGTGCACTTAGTATAGATCTAGTGAATACTAGAACGTTTTAAGTGAACTGTGCATGTATGTCACTTGCCTATTCTTCTAAGTGCTTTGCCTACAGTTTGTATGTGAAAGCATAAGAGATAATAGATGAAACACAATGATCGATAAAACAAAAATAGTTTCATTTTAGCTTGGTGCAATGAATTTTTAGGTTACATTCTTAGCCTATCAATACCTAGAACTTCTCATACAGTCTGAAATGACATAAAGAAAGGGTGCTAGATCTTTGGACTTCTAGGGTGACCAGATGTCACAGCATAGTTCTCATTTCATCTCTCTGGCTGTTTACTGGGCTGCTAGAAACATTTGAATGTCTTTGTATTATATTAGACAGGATTAAAACCAAACACACAAAGGCCAAGATCGGCCCTAAGAAAGTGTCTTATTTCAAACTCAGTCACTTATTGAAATGACTGCTAATAACCAAAGTCACTTTTTAAAAATTTTATTAGTTTATTTACAAAATTCAAATAGATTGTTTTTCACACTAGATCATTCCCATTTCAACCCCACCCATCAAATTTTATGACTCCATGATTATTTCCCATCCCACCCCTCGCACATCCTCACCCTTCTGCTTCTGCCCCTCCGCTTGGATCCTCATACTCATTCTACAGTGATGGTTTTATACAGTATTTGTCCTTGTGTGACTGAGTTAGTTCTTTCAGCAAAATGCTCTTCAGTCTCTCAAGTTAGGTAATAATTTTATACTTTCTCTTCCTTGTGGAGTAGCTAGTACTTTCAAACAGCCAACTTTCAAGTTAGCAGCTCATCATGTGACATAGTACACCTCCGGGTCCAGGCAGAGAAAACATCTCTGACCTCATGTCTACAGTGAGACTATGCAGCAACTTTAATCAACTTCTTATTGTTAGATTGTTAGATCTTCTTGTTGACCTTAGCTCCAACTTGTAGTGACCCTGCATACAACAGAACAAACCACCCTGCTCCTGTGCCATCCTCACCATCTTTACAGGACTCATGTCCACTTTTACAATCACTATGTTAGTCCTTTTTGTTCAGGGTCTTCCTTTCTTTTGTCTTTTAAAGCATGATGTCTTTTTTTCAAGGACTGACCTGTCCTGATAACATGGCCAGCCTATGTGAGAAGTCTCACTGTTTGTGCTTCTAAGGAGTGTTGTGACTACATTTCTTTCAAGACGGACTTTAATGAATTCATAAAAAGAAAATATGTAGTTACAAAACAGATGGTCTATATAGACGTAAAAAAAACTGAACAAACCCAAGTTTATTACTTGAAAAGATAAAGAGCTAGAGAATATATGCTAGGTTGGGATAGTTCATTCTTTCTTTTTTTTTAAGTATAAAATGTTCTTTTATGAAAGTCATTGGGCCCCCTCTTGTGGCTTTGTGAAAAACTTCAGTTTCAAGGAAAGTAGCTGTAAGGAAAGAATTTGGTTTTTTAACAAGGAATTTTAAAAAAAAAATTAATTTTCCTTTTAAAAGGAAAAGGAGAGAGGGTGAAATGGAGAAGATAAGGATGGCAGTTGATCTTGGTGAAGAACTTGAATTGTTGAAAAAGTCATCCCATAGAGTTGTTGAGTTACTTTCAACTACTAGTGTACATCTGAATGAAACAGCCCAGTCAGCCACCCTTGCCACCATCGCTGTCTCTGAAGCTCACAGTTGCAAATTCTCTATCAGTCCATCTCACTGAGGCGCTTCCAATACTTTTTTTAATTGTGATTTTAACTTAAGTTTACAGAAAAGTTAGATTTTCGTTCATTCATTGTGGCATACTTTCCTTCCTACCCACCCCACCCCCAGTTCACTTTTTTAAGAAAACTGTTCAGTCGTTGTTGTATAATTTTCTCCCTCCCCCAATCCACTTTGCTATGTATCTCTTATTTTGGACAGTTGTCATGCAGATAATCTTTTACTTTTATATTCCTTTTAAACAATTCTTATCTTCATCAGTTTCAATGCAGTGTTCATTATTTATCCCCTCTGTTTTTAATTCCCTCCAACCCCTATGTCAGTCCTGTTTTATAATAGTGGTGTCATACAGTATTTGTCCTTTTGTGACTGAGATATTTAACTCAGCATAATGTCCTCCAGGGTCACCCATATTGTGTAATATTTTATCAGTTCCTTGTTTTTCAGTGCTGCATAGTATTCCATTTTGTGAATATACCATAGTTTTTCTATCCATTTGTTCCATCTCTTTGCTATTGTGAATAATGCAGCAGTAAATATGGGTATGCATATATCTGTTTGAATGGCAGCTCTAGTTTCTTTAGGGTGTGTTTGCAGTAGTGGAATTGCTGGGTCAAATGGTATTTCTATTTTCAACTTTCTGAGAAAGTGCCATACTGCTTTCCATAGCAGTTGCACCATTTTATTCACCAGCAGTGATAAGGGTTTCAATCTCTCCGCAACCTCAGCAGCATTTGTTGTTTGCTGCTCTGTTGAACTTTGCTGTTGTTACTGGGGTGAAATGATATCTCATAGTTGTTTTGGCTTGCATCTCTCTGAGAACTAGTGATTTTAGACATTCATGCCCATCTCAATCTCCTTCAAGAATTAGTCCCCATGATAATGTATTTGAAATGTGTGAGACAAAGTCTCACCACCTTTTATTCAAAGGAGTGTATAGCTGCACTTCTTTCCAGGACGGATTTGTTCTTCTGGTTGCCATGGTATATAGATAGTATTTTTTTTCCGGCATCACAGTTCAGTTGCATCATAACAAATTTTTATCAGAAATTTACTGCACACTGTTTAAGCACGGGACTCCTAACTCATTAAAAAGTTGACCATTTCAAACCCACTCAGCAATACCTTGGAAGTACAACCTGATTGTCATCCGAAAGGTCCCAGCCCTGAAAACCTGGTCTATATACCTACATTCACCATCAGCTGGGATCCATTTGACGGCAGAAAACAACAACATTGACCATCTACTTTATGTTACTGGGTATTCTAGATAACGTATTACCATCATAAAGCATCATTTCCTCTGTTCAGTATCAGCTTACACAGCAGCCAAGCAGAATGATCCTCTTATGGGGGTGATGTTGTGGCATTTTCTTTTCAGAAGATTGACTAAAGAGACGTTGTTGTTGTTGTTTGCCATTGAGTCGAGCATGACTCATAGCAACGCTATGAACAAAAGGCCTGTAACCTTTCTATAACTATCATCATTTATCAGAGTTCATAGAGTTTCCAGAGGTGTGTTGTTTAGGAAATGGATGCCACTCCTGCTCCCAAAGGAGACAATATACCTCTTCATTTCTCTGACTGAATAACAGTGTAAACATCTTGCATTACTCTAGTTTAAGAAACCAAAGTCTTGAATAATATGTAGATTCATATTTCTGAATAACTAGATATGTTATTCAACAATTAAGTTCTGTTTCTTGTTTTTTTCCTTTTCTAGTTGCCAGTGTCCGGTAACTTGATTGACCTTTACAGCAACCAAGGCTTGCCACCTCCAAACCTGACCATCAGCAACTCTTGTCCAGCCAACCTTCCCAACATCAAAAGGGAGCTTACAGGTAACTATCAAGCAGATAGACCTCCTGCTGTGGATTTTCACCTGAATATCTTAATTAGGCAAGTTCTCAAAATGAGGCCCTTCATACTCTCTTTGTTCAGTGCAGAGACATACCTTGTTAGCTCTATACAGTGACTTAAAAAATTGAGCAAAGTATTAAAATAGAGGGATTATATTGGCAAAGTCTGGTTCCTGGTGTTTCTGAGATACTGGGAACCTATGCTGCCATTACTCCGTGGCAGCAGTCACACTCTCTATTGCTGTTGTCCCCTTTGGAGTAGGGTACAGCACTCTTCAGCTGTAAAATCTCTTTAACCAGATTGGTATTTATGTTACTTGTGAACAGATCATTTGAGTTTGAGAACCCTCCTCTGAAACTTTCTTCAGCACACATTCAAGCCAACAGTTGGAATAAAAAAAAAATGCACATCTTAAAACTCTGGAAGACTGATGTTATTTTCACTGTATCATGTACAAAGGATTTTTTACACAGAGGAAAAAATAAATTATAAAATTTAATGAAGGTTATTGTTTGTTCTTGAGACAAGTGTGAAATGACCTATTTCCCATTTTGTTTAATGTTTTAAAAAAACATTGACGCCAAAAAACAAGACAGAATCTGTATTAGAACTGGCATGCAACTGTATTGAATGTTATGCCCCCCTTTAGGTAGAGAGGCCCTTGCATTGTGTAGAATTAGGTGACTGGTTTAAAAAAATACCTGTACTAGCCAAGATGTCTTTAAGATAATACTTCTAATTGTGGGGGGGGGGGAAATACATTTTAAAAATTATATCCTTTGGCTGGTGGCAACTCCACAGTCAGGGTCAATGAGCACCTTTGTCTGCTTCTCACAATTCTGCTTTGGACTCCTGGAACGGTGCAAGCGTCTAGTGGGACATGGCGAAATCAGACAGTGAGTACTGTGGGAACCATGAAAAAGACAGTTTTCTATACTTTGCCTGTGGCAATAATGTGTTGTCAGAAAAGATCCCCTTCCAAAACCCCTCGGCCATCTTCTGCTGTGTGGCCTGCCTGCAGGATTTTAAGCTTGACTTTAGCAGTCCCCAAGGCAAAAAAGTCCCATTTGGCATGGAGGTATAGCTACCATTCTCCAAAGTCCTGGAGATGAAGTGTGGGGAGTAATATGGAGAATTAACAAAAGCCATTTAAGTTATTTGGATAAGCCAGAAGGGGTTAGCAGTGGAATGTATGCTGTAATAGAAGTTAGTTTGCACTCAAGGAAAAAAAGAGATAACCTGTCGAAGCTATCAGATGCAAAACTATGGTAGCATTCCTCCATCACCACAGTATAAAGCGGTCATTTGCATGGGTGCAAAAGAGAATGACTTGCCAACAGAAGTTAAAAGCAATAGAACCAAATGACTTCAAAGGAAAGCTCTCAAAAGAAATTGAAGATATGATTGAAAGAGGAAAAGAGAAGCTAAGTACTAAAACTAACGAGACAATATCCACAGAGAGAGACGTATCCAAGGATATCTGTGTGCTGCTCAAAAGCATCTTTAATGTTTGAGAAGACAGACCTGAGATATATGTATGTTTAAAGAATTTTAAACACTACTCTGAGAGGATTTCTCACCTGAGGGTTCTTTCTTTTCAGGCAAAACCAAAACTGGGTTAGGAGTTAGACAAATTTAAGATGGGGCTAACATTTAAGGTATTGGAACGCCTGGCGAATGGATATTGGTACTTTTTTCTCAGAACATGGAAAGCTGTTTTCTGGAATTGATTTTAAGTGTATTCCAGCTCTGTGGCAAAGGATAAATTTATAGCCTGCCTAAAGATGGTGTTGGTGAATGGATGTGCTCTGTCTCTAATTTTTAGTCCAGTTTTGTAAGAGCAAGCAAAGTGCTGAGACAGGTGTTAATGAAACTTTACAAATTGGAAGATGGTATACTCTTTTCTAAGGAATAAATGCTTATGATATGTGGAGGGAAAATTTACATCCTTTAAAATAGAACTAACTGATTAACTATTAATAAAAGTGAATTGTCAAAATCCAAATAGTTTTTCTACCAAGAAGAAGAAATAACAAGTCTTAGGAAGGATTGCCAAGTGAAATATCTTGTTAACCTTCTGCAATTGAGTTGATTAAAATTCATAACAATCCTGTAGGGCGGAGTGGAGCTGGTTCGGAAGGTCTCCTAGGCTGTAGATCTTTGTGGATACAGACTGTCACAGCATTCTCCCATGGAGCACCTGCTGGTCTTGTATTGCTGATCTTTTGGTTAGCAACCAAACACCTTAGCCATTGCACCACTAGACCTGTTTTTAGAGATATATATTAGAAAAACTACAAATATTGTTTAAGTAATATGAATGAAATTCTTAATACTTGAGTGGAAAATGAATTGTGAATTATGTGAATGATGTTCCCTCAAAAACACAACCACCTAGGGTATCATTGAGATGGACAGAGTAAGGAGAAAAGCTGAATGTTATACTTCGATATGGAAAAGATAGTAATAATTGTTTTGGCTATCCTTTACGAATCTAAATACTATGGATATATATAATTTATAGACACTGCCATGACACAAACCCACATGCCACATAAGATTTTGTGCCGATAAATTATGCAAAAATAACATTCTAAATTATGGTAGTATTAAGTTCTAGCTATTACTTCTCAAGAGATGACAACAAATTCTTAAGTAAATCAACTTCCTCCTACCTTGTTTTGTTCTCTAGAAGTCAAAAAAATTTGTCATCCTTATCCCAGATATCCTAAGAGTAGTCGCGGAGATTAACTTTATGGAAATAGTTGCCCTAGTACCTCTCATCCCTAATTTTTTAATGAGCTACAGTTACTGCTAAGCATCTCTTATTTCCTTTTGGAGGTTCTGATAGAACCTGGTTTCAGGTTCTGAAAGAATACGTTCTATTCCGTGATCTGATCAAAGAATATGGAGACCACTTGGACTCTACCCACTTTCCATATCAGTGTGTTATTTTATGAAAGCATCGAACAAAGACAGAGCTTCTGTAGCTTGAAAAGAAAATTTGGTTTGACTCTCAAAAACAGACTGTTAAGAGTAAAGTCCCATAGTCTTTGAGTCATTTCATTATTAGTTTCCGATCATATAGTGGGCCACTGACTTTTGTTATTGTCTTTTACTGTTTTGTGAAAACCATGTTTTTGCATTTATTTCCTATATATTGGTTTTAAAGAAAATAAAATATTGTAAAATTTTTTCAGAAAAATTATTTAAAATCAAGTAGTACGTAGATAGTGAGATGTTTGGTAACTGATTTTAGTTGTTAATATTTTATGGTTTTGTTGTGTTGTTTATAATTTGTTGTGTGCCTTAAACAGTCCACTTTCTAATTACTTCATTCACGTGCACAGCGTGTATTTTTCCCACAGAGTCTGAAGCAAGAGCACTGGCCAAAGAGAGGCAGAAAAAGGACAATCACAACTTGAGTAAGTTGATTTTACTCATATCCCTGGTAGTTGACATGGGAGTTAAGATTCCCTCATAGATTAAAACAGTTTTCCAGAAATTTTGAAAAGAAATTGATTGGTATGCCTGTTAGGAGGACAGCAGATGAAAGAAAATTATATTTAAGAAAAATGAAGACATAGATTTTTTTTCTCCCAGATTTCCTATTTGATTAACTTGAATTTCATTTATATTCTGTTTTCAGTAGTCTGTGGAATATCCTTGTATACCATGCTATAGAGTATACCTTGAATCAAATCTGTGGCGTATTCTTTGTTTATAGTAGTGGTGGTACTGTTGTTACTTTTTCTTTTTTTGTGAAAGGTGAAGCCTTGATCCCCAACTACCCAATTATAGGTGTTGTCACTCTGGAACTTATTAACAAAAGGGATTATAGGATCACCCTCTCCAGTGAGATTTGAAAGAAGAAAAAAAAGTCTGGAGAGGAGGGAAGAAGCAGTGGTCTTTCACATATCTGTCTTTATGTGAAATTAAAATTTTTTTTCTATTTTTTAAAAAACTCAGTATAATTTAATGTAATATTTTACATGTGTAATTTAAGCTCAGAACCTTTAAGTGTTTTCTTGTGGAAGTTTAAATTTCATTTAATAAACTAATAAGAGTGACTATATAATGGAAAGGGGAATTAGGAAGGATCATGTATGTGTATATACATATTTCCTTGCCTCAGGTCTTCTTTCTCCTAAATTAATTTTTCATAATGTGAGCTAATATAAAAATTAAACCATTATCAAGTAAGGCCGGTTTGTGTATGTATGTGTTTGTTTCTTGCCAATCTCCAGGTATAACCAGTGTTTTTTTTTTACAATTTAATATTGCACATTCTGATATTTTTCTGTGTATTTATGAATTTACATCCCCATATGTAGAAAATAATGTTAATTATTAATGTTAATAATGCAATTTAATATTGTCCATATTTAGTTGTTATTTTTTAACACGTTAGCTTATCCGGAAGGCCCTTCGCTGGTAGAAGGCTAAATTTACTTACTTTTAAGAAACCCTCCACCATTTGACGCTTATTCCCTGACATCTGAGCATGTGTGTGTGATTTTCCATCTTCCTCTGATGCAGCCACTGCCACTTGTGAGCATTGCTGGCCTGCCTCTGTGTACAGCGGAGCCTCCTTATCTAGGTCGTTGTCATTAGTTGCCATCGAGTCCCCTCTGACTCATGGTGACCCATGCCCAGCAGGGAAAAACAGTGCATCGTCTTACAGTCCTCATGTGCTTGCATTGATGTTTCGGTCCCTCTGCGCTGTCAGTGTCTCTAGCCTATGGGGCTCATGCTCCTCTAGCACCAGTGTTCTGTTAGTCTGTACGCTTTTCCTAGGCATCTCCTCAGAAGGAGCTGAGCAGGCCTTTCGTTCTTAGTTAGGAACTCTCCTGGCAGAAGCTTTTTCCCTGCTGGTATTGAAAATACTGGAGCAGAGCTTCCAGCTGTCGCAACATGGGGTGTTCTGGTAAATTGATTGCTGGTGCCTGGAAGTTCCATTTTTGTTTTCCCTCTGGTAGTACAATCCATAGAGAGGTGCACTGCTAACCCAAAAGTGGCACCTTGTTGGCAGTTCGGATCCACCAGTAGCTCTGTGGGAGAAAGGTGGGGCAAGTCTCCTTTCGTACAATTTCCGGCCTTAGGGAACAGCTGAAGAATCAGCTATGAGTAGTTCTACTTGTTGGCAATGAATTGAAGGTGGTTTTCTTGTTCATGGTTTGTTTTTTATTTTTTTAAAGAGGTACTGCCCCTAATCACCACCACCAATCTTGACCCCACATTTCTCCTCATAGAGCCCAGCCTCCTGGATAATCTGTTCTGCATATAGGTTGAAAAGGTATGGAGATAGTATGCATCCCTGGCGTACACCCTTCCCAATT